TGAAAACGAGAAAGGCAAGAAAAAAACTGATGAATAGAAGACTTAATTAACGTTTTCGGTTACACTAGAAGGAAGAGCAATCTTTTGAAAGCACTACATTTTCTTGAATGTTTTAGCAGCGTTTAGTAATTCGTAATAATCTCTCTCTACCCTGGAAAGTGTTGGTAGTCATATGATTGATGGTGAAGATCGTGCACAGAGATCTGTCTCACCTATGCATTGTTCATAGGATTCTAACGGTATGACCTTTGAAAAATTCTGAGAACAGTATATTTTCCTGTATGTTTTGACACCATTTTGTAGCTCTCAGTGAGCTCTCTCTACCATAGAAGAATGGCGCTTTCTCGTATTGGAATCAGGTGGTGACCATAGATACTGTATCATGCTATTTGAAGCCAATATCTGCTGTGAGCAGGTTGGCTAACTATCTTCTCGTCGAATATCTTATGATGTGTGCATGAAAACTGTCCATGTGAATAAAGAATGGTATAGTGTTAAAGGTAAAAGTATTAATTCTAATGTGGAGGTGATCTTCAAATAGAACCAATTTGTGGATCAACTCTTCCACGTTCTTTGAAAGCAACAAGATCAATCAATTTCTATTTGCTCATCAGAGAATTGATTGAACATAAAATACTCAATCCACTCCTGCACTAGTTTTTCTCACGTGTACGCCAATGCTTAATGTGATTTTATGCAGTAGTCTATTCTTTGTTATGCCATCTTTAGTCTACATGAATTCGCGATTCATAGTACTTTCAGCTTGACTACCAATCAAATGACCTTTTCTCTCAGCTCCAATGTAGCATGATTGCTTTTATGATCCCATATGTTTGTCTCTGTGGATTCTAACGTCGACAGATTCAACAAAACAAATTAGTTACATATCAGAATTCGAATACTTGATGCATACAAGAGATTTCGGTAGACGAACGGTATTTCTTGCAATATCTGTATTTGACTCATCATTTGCTTCATTTCTTGATAATGTGCTATTCGCCTTGATAATTATTATTGCTATTGGTCTGTTGAAAACAACAAACGATCATTTATCTACTACAAGAATCATAGAGAAAGTGTTCTCACTTTTCTACTTAGATATCATGTCCACGTTTCTTGTGAAAATTAGAAGAAAACTACCATAATTTTAATTTATCAAATTTTTGAAGTCTTCTTAAATCTTATGAGCTTCAGTATTATCACTTTCATGGTATGTCGAATTTAAAATAGCAGTTTGGACACACAAATTTCATGTATACACAATAGGTCGGTAAGATATTGACGAGAGCCACAAAACCAAAGGTATTCCTCGCGTCAAGTCTAACTCAATGATGATTTAGATGACGTCGATCCCTTTTCGAGAGTCATTAGACAAGTTTGATTCGGTTATGATGCTTTATAGAGATCTACACAAATTAGAGCAAAAATTTGTTAGTATCGAGCCCACACAAAAATAACAAATTTCACAAGACATACATTTCAGGATCCAGTCAGTTCTATGCTTCGTCCAACACGTAACTTCAACAGAATGAACTCCATGCTAAGAAATCATATTCGCAGATGCCATGATTTTAATTTTCAAGTAGACTGTAAAAAAGGATAGGTATCAATTAATCAATCGACTTATTATCTTACAGTGATGATATCATTTTTAGATACGTTGGTGTGTTTTGTTTTGTATGGTTGGAAGCAGCAGCACTCAAAAAAAGGAGAACGAAGCAGAGAAATGCTAATACTCTTGAGTTAATACTGTTGTCAATTGAATATTACCTAGCGATATAAACTTTTTTAAAGCATATACATAAAAATAGAGATGATTAGGAAGAACACGGTCAATATTGATTGAGGCTTGTTACTTGAATTCATTCGATGTTCATAGTCGATCAGAAGAGGATAATGAGCTGGCGGTGGTGAAATTCTATCACCTGCTACATTGAATACTGCTATCATACCTGCTTCCAAGTTCCAGGCAATATGGTAATGAAAGAGCCACAATCCTAAATTGTTAGCAATAAATCCTATGGCTATTTAAGACAGTTCAGGCACTTGTTCCAGGTCACGGTAGGGTGGACCGATGAAGTTGAGCGTGTGTCGATCGCGTACGGGATCGAATATGGTCTGTTCACCAGATGCATTTTTTTTGCCCATGCCGAGCACATAAAAAGAATGGCCATGAAGATGAAATGGATGACCAAAACCTTGAAAGTTATTTACAACAATCATGACATGATTGTTCAGCTTCAAATCGAGCATATTGGGCAAACTTGGTTGTTGAATGCCACGTTTTTACAATGTGCACTGTAAATTTTTTTGAAATTTTGCTTTTTAGAAAATCGACTTTAAAATAGTTGCAGCATTTTCAAATTTTCATTATTCCTCAGTTGAATTTCGAAAATTTCGAAAATGCTTGATTTTCGAATTTATAGAAATTCAATTTGGTTTTCGAAAAAATTCATTTTTAAAAACAATGGAAAATCGAGACTGATTATGAATAAAATTCAAAAATCAACTTCGATTTGGAGTAAATGATTTGAACAATGACCGATATGGAGCCATTGTGTATTAATATATAAGCCAGGCCGGTAGTGTTGTGCATTCATTATTTCCTTCGGCAGCTGTAGTGAAAGTTGATACATTATATTTTTTCAGCTGCTGCGTGAGTCAATACATTTTGAATGCATTTATATCAATCGATGCTTATGAATTTATTTAAATTAAAATTATTTATTTATATATTTATTTTATTTGATGCATTTAGTGAATTCATAATGTCTATGAATTTATTTAAATTAAAGTTAAAATTATTTACTCATTCTGTCTGATGTACTTATGTGAATTTATTGTTTATAAATTTATTAAAATAAAATTAAAATTATTTATTTATTTTATTCGACGCATTTATATCAGTTGAATGCTGATGAATTTATTTAGATTAAAATTAAATTTAAGAGAGGGTCCACTAGAATATCGACCAAATTTTGACGGCACCGTCATCCGTCAAAATTTTGATTTTGATTTAAGGTTATCATTCGAAAGCCCGTGGAAAGTTATGCTTAAATCCTAATTTTTAGCTCTTTCTGGAAATCCTATCAAGAGATATGAAATCATCTTTGAACCCACCCTCAAGCGATATTTTATTATTTCGATAAAATATAAAAAATTCTATTTAA